CAGGATGAATCCATGCAGGCAGTGGTCTTGGGCTTTTGATCTAATGAGCAAAACAGTTCTATGTGAACAAGAATAATGGCTGCAAACACAACCACCAGTAGAGTAAAAGGATCCCAGTGTAGTCCAGGTACACAATTTTTTTTTCTGAAGAAATGACCTGGATGGTATAGAGCTGATGCAACTGCTGCCTTAAGCTACAAAGTGGTACAATAGACCTTTTTGCCCTTGCTTTACATTGAGAAATTCTCATAAAGACATTAATTACTCCCTCTTCCCTTATCTCCCACTTGTTTACTTCATCTCGAACTTCATCTCACTACAGTTACAAACCCTCCATCACCACACAACAATTTTAAGGAAGAACAGAATGGGGAATAATGGCAACTCCTCCATGTTACTGTCAGAAACCCTCCGGTCAGTTAAATCACTTAACTTCAGGTGTCCACAGTACAACAGCAATCTATTCTGAACAGCTGTGAGTGTAGTTGCAGACCCACCTCCTTCAGCTGGATTTGAGCACAACCCTGAGAGCTCCAGTAAGTTTCTTAGCCTTAGTTCTTAGCTTTGCTTGTTGGAAAAACTGGAGTGGCACTCTCCCAAACGCCTCCCACTTGTGGCATCAAAGTGAGATATCACTCACAGTAAATTTTACAGTATGAGGAATGAAACAGTTAGCAAAGTTGACATTTAAACCATCATCGCTGGCTATGATTAAATACCTCGGAGATGAGCGGAGTGGTTCACACCTCTCCAAGTTATTGTTCTAGGCTCTTATCAGACTCCCATACAGCGCTGCATTAGCTGCATTTTGACACACTTGAGATTTTCTTTGAATCTGTAATGGCTGGAAACCTGTTTAGACAGAATCTGGAGAGTTTCTGATAGTGTTAGTCTGGCAGAGAGACAGAAACACGGGCTAACTTCCTGAACTGCAGATTCACCCTTGAAAGGTTCAGGCAGATTAATAATACAAGCATGGCCAAACGGGCTCCTTCATCCTCTCTCCTTCTCTCATCACTGTTGGTACAATGCAAGGAAATGAAACACTATCAAGAAATAAACGGCAAATAACCTGCAAGAAGCATGGAGGGCAGACTGGAGCACAACGCTTCCCATAGAATCTCTATTCTGAAAATAGCACGAAGCCCAGGGTATGCGTGCAACACTGGGAAACACACTTAGACCATCATCAAAGCCACATTAATGTGAGCTGACCTGCCCATCCTCAGCTCCAAGAGATGTGTGCAGAATGAGAGCAGCTCCTTGCAGTGCCACATGCTGAGTGGTCAGCAGCAGGGAGCCAAGCAGCCAGAAGATGGGAACTCCTGAAAGAATTCCTATTATTGCAACACAGTGAGAACTGTTCCATGCTTGGCATCATAACGGCTAAGTCAACATCCCCATCTTTCCAGAGTCTGTTCTGCTGCACATATTTAGCACAGGGAAATACCAGCACGCTTTGTTACTGCTAACAGAAATCATGTGTGGGATACACTGAGCACAGAGTTGACAACATTCCCCTCCAGTCAGCAGTCAGAGGCTGCAGAACAGCCATCCCAGGCTGGGAACACTGCGGGGAGAGATGGGGGAGCAAAGGAAACCAGTCCTGAACTGCAGAAGACACTCAGAGTACAGTAAGGGAGGAGGAAAACAAGGTTTCTGATGGGTCAGACGGACACAGTGTTTCAGGCAGCAAGCGCTGAGCATCAGTTTTGTTGGAGAAGGTAACATTTGTATACACCGAGAGGAAAAAAATACAATGGCTGATACAGTATTAAAGCGTATATACAAGATATCTGAATGTTTGCACTGGGCAAATAGGAACTCTCACAGCCATATTTGGATGAAATCAATTTTTTTTTTGGTAAGAAATAGAGATTCTTTTTTTTTTTTTAATATGTAAAGCTCAACTAAAAATGCATTCTCCCCAAACAGAGCTCACTGTGCTGTTACGTGTGCTGACTTTTAAACCTCGCCAGTTTCACGAGGAGCAGAATAACCTCAGGTTATTACAATTAGATTCATCTCATTAATAGATCAATTTCTTTCAAGCGCACCGAAAACTGAATTTTTACTTTGTTGCTTCTCCTTTTAGCCTACATTACAGTCTGTGTTCTTAAGTTTTAAGGAGAGCCATCACAGAACAGGTTGTAATCTCAGGTGATTAATTGCGTAGCATTTTACAAGCTGTAAAACAGAGCGAGATCCCCGCACTGCGATGATGCCATTAAGCACTGCTATCCCACTTCCCCGTAACCAGCAGGGCTGTCTGAGACTGCAACTCTGAAGTGTTTATATATTTCAAAGGTTTACTTATTTTTTGTTGTTAAAAAACTCCAAAATCCATATTGATTGTTACATGCAATTCTACACGAGAAGCCTGGGGAAGCGTGGTGCTGAATACCAATATTTATTACCACACTCACGCTCATTATGGTTCTCTTTGACAGGGGTCCATTAAAATCAATTTTTATGTTTCTTATGTTTTTTTTTTCCTCTTACCCAATCTTCTTACCATAGTGTTTATTAGCCAGTTAGCAGAAACACTGGGTGCTGTTTTCTTTTTATTTTATTCTGTCAAAAATAATGAGGCCAGATTTAACAGCTATTCACTAGCGATGAGTAGAAGAGATTAAATGTTATACTTCAGCACAAACATTTACAGAGGGCTTTAAAATGTTTAGAACTTTATTGCTGGTTAAGACAAAAGGAAGTTCCCACCTCCCATCCACGTTTCAGATTTAAGTTCCTGAAGTAACAGTAAGGATATTCTGCTTGCTGTTAACTACTGGATCACTCTTTGCTAATACTTCCTCCACAACATAACAACTGTCACACACGAATCCCACAACCCGATAGGTTTAAGTGCTATCGAGATGCTACTGGAGTCTCATCACTTCTGGGAGGACAGAAAACTACAGCAGCCAACCATGGGGAGCCTGGCTGAATCACCAGACAGAAACACAAAGAATTAAGAAAAGAATAGACACCCCCTGGCTGCTGCCCAAAGAGCAAAATCAGCAGATCCTTCCCCAGCCAACCCAGCTGTATGACATCAGCAAGCAGCAAACCCTGTCAACAAGGAAAGCAGAAGCTCACCTTGTACAAGACAGCCTCGCTATACAGCTAGGCTTCTTAGGGACAGCTGTGACACAGGAGCATCTTTCATTTGTGCAGGAATGAGTAAAGGAAGCAGCGTTATGTTCTGAGCACACATACATGTATTTTCCTGGAAAAAAAAATCTGTGTGACTCTGCAAGTCCAATTTCTCTGCTCAGCCTTCCCACCAGCTCTAACATCATACTGTCCCTAAAAACATTGTTCAGAAAAAAAGATGGCGAGTCATTACGTGAAACATAAAAAGCCTCAGCATTAAAGGTAAGAGCCATAACAAGAGACCTTTGCTCTTCTCACCCAGCAGAACCACACGCTCACCCAGCACAACACCTCCTCCCCAGTCACCTTCGTGGCCTTCACCAATCAATAGCCTTGAATTACGTTCATCCAATACTGCAGCAGTTCACTTGAAGCCTGTATATCTTAATACCTGTAATCTCATGACTGCTTTTGTTTTCATGCAATTTCCTTTATTACTACCAACATGTAAAACCACATTTCTTACATTCACCAAGTTTGAGTGCATAGAGCTTCCCCCTGCTATCCTGCCACCCGCTCTCTGACATGTTCTCTTCTCAAAGGTGAAGAGCCGTCACTCGCTTTAGTCGTTCCTCAGCCAGAAGCTGTCCTGTAGCAAAGGCGAGCTTCAACTCTGTCCTAAATACCATTTTACTTCCATTCCTCATCAGCAGAAATCCAATACTGCAATCAGCATATGAAGGAAACTCAAGTACTGATTTCCATATCACTGGAGTTGGCAAAACTGTCAAACCCAGAGGCTGGAGGGTTTTAGAATTAGAGGAAAAAACATATTTCAACCAGAATTCACATTATGCTTTGTATTTGTGATTAATGCTATGCACGCTTAAAGAACTACAAGGGTAATAAAATAGAAAAACAGAAAAAGGGGAAACGCTACAAATCAAAGGAAAAGTTATGAAGTGAAAAGCAGAGCAGGGAGGACAATGTGGAGAGAAGGAAATAAAACCTGTTTGAGTCCTATTAGAAAAAAAACACAGAAGGCCGCAGCTCATTACCAAAAACACCATGGCAAACATTGCAGCTTCATCACCAGAAAACAGCTGAAGAAACAAACCTTAGTAAGCTGTACTACTAACTTGAGTTCTGGCAGAGGATTTGGCAAAGAACTTTGCTATCTGCAACATATGTGACTCTGGCATAGCAAAACCACACCAGAAAAGGTACATCCCTAAGAAAGACTTCTGTAGTCCTTCTAAAAAGTCAGCTTTTTCTAACAAACAAGGAAAAAATGCAGACAAAAAGAATCCAAACAGCATAATACTTTACCAGACTGAAAAGCATGTCTACTCAACCATAAAACAAAAAAAAAAAAAAAAAAGGAGGTGCCAACACCTCACCTCCTCCATCAGTCTTGTATTTGAGATATTACATCCAGTGCCATAGATACCTGTGTTGTGAGAACTTCAGGAGACATTATAAACACGAAAAACAAACCAGAGCTCTCCTTAGCAGTTTCCATGACTAATCATTCAACCTTAGTTCTGCCTGCCTGAGCACACACATCTAGATACAGGTCTACAGAACAGACACAGAAGCGTTATTCCCCAGTGACACATTTCCACATAACTCCTTTTCCCTAATTTTGGACACATCTCCACAATGTATTTTAAGAACCCTTGTCTCAGCTTGGTTTCTTAGCTAGTATTGAAGACGCAGAGAAAGAAACACATTTGGGACGTGCCATTCCTTGACAGAGCTGGAGGCTGCTTTGCTCTCCCAGGGAAAAGCGCTGTACTTTCAACGTGGCTGGTGCAAAAAGGCACACACAGCATGCCTTAGATTCCTCTGGGCAATCTGTTTACTGCTCGCTCAAACACGGAATCAATAGAACACGAACTTACCCATTTGGCAGCACACTCAGTTTGGGGAGTTTAATTTCGTGTAGTCCTGTTTCACACCCAGATATCTCCAGTTTTCCCACGGGGCTGAGAAGAACCACGTGCTTCTCCTGGCACTGTGATGCTCCTTCTTTGGAAGTCACCTGTTCATAAAACCAAACGACTGTCACTGGGCACGTTTTCACCAAAGAGCATTCATCTCAAGATACGCCGTGCAGTTTTCAAAGCCAATTTGGAAAAGAAAAAGAACCATGGAAATAGAGTATGCCAAGTTTCTTTGACTATACCTTTAGCTAACTTAGAATGAGCCATTAACTCATTCAGTCCCTGAAATAAAAAAGGAAGTTAAAAGAGCAGTGACCTTCATAAAAGTCACAGGCAATGGAAGCTTTGTGGCTGGTTCAGCAGTAATGCCTGACATGAAGCGTTCTGACGCCAATATCAAAAGAATGATTATGATAACAGAGCACAGTCACTGGCTCCCAGCAGCAGCGTTATGCAAATAGCTGCTGAAACACAAATAGAACACGTCTGCTGGAAAAACATGAAAAAAAATCATTCCTTAGTAAAAACAACAATTTTTATTCCCATTGTTACCAGGCTGGTTTTACAGTTACTGATAGGATATGGAGTTGGAAACATGGCATGCATTTTTCAGTATTGTTCAAGATCAACCAAAAACATTCACATCAAATTCATCATAGCTTTACAGTCTGAATCGGGAGCTGCTCCAGTTGGAGTTGTATGAAAGGTCAGAACACATTCATTGCAGTCACCCAACACCATGTCAGAATCACACCACAATGGGAACATCACAGAATGGCCCAGGTTGGAAGGGACCTCAAGGATCACGAATCTCCAACCCCCACCACAGGCAGGGCCACCAACCTCCACATTTCATACCAGCCCAGGCCCCCATCCAACGTGGCCTTGAACACCTCCAGGGATGGATGAGGCATCCACAGCCTCTCTGGGCAGCTGTTCCAGCACCTCACCACTCTCATAGAAAAGAGCTTCCCACTGACATCCAACCTAGACCTTCCCTCCCTCAACTTCAAACCATTTCCCCTTGTCCTGCAGTTATGTACCCTTTCAAAGAGTTGATTCCCCTCCTGTTTTTTAGGCTCTCTGGTCAACCTGTTGGGGGCAGGAACACCAGGCTCCTCCAACCCAACCTTCTGTGAAGGTAAGAATGATGCAAACAGAGAAAAAGGACCTCTACTCCACAGAGCAACCAGAAGCTAACCTGACAAACATCCTGCTTACATTCTATAAGACCAGCAAGGTTTCTTGAGTTTTAACACCACTTTGACCGTACAGTTAACCTGCAATTTGCTTTATACTTCCAGAGACAACAGCACAAGCTTATTTTCACCAACATCTGTACAAATGTACAGTCTGACCCAAAGCTCTGTGAAGTCTGCCCAACCTCTGACCATCTGACCAAGTTGTCTTTTTTTTTTTTTAAAAAAAAAAAAGAAATAAGCAGTTCTTACTCCACATTTTGAACCTGTTCAAAGTTTTAAAGTACTTAAAGTAAAAGCAGAACTTGAAAACAACATTTCCTTCTTTTCCCAGGGACTGACTGACAGCTCTCACACCAATTACACTTAGAAAATCTTCGCTGATGTTACAGAGAAAGAGAAATCCACCTTTTGAACCAAGCTCTTCCTTGCTCCAGCTCCTTGCTTAAGGAGTGAAAATGGATGAACTTTTGGGGAGCAGCACCTTACTGCAGAAATATTAATAAAAAGAAAAACCAACATACTAGTTCACGTATTTGAAAAGCAGCAGCATACATTCTTCATTTTTATTTGTGTGACAGCCCTAAACTAGATGCACTGAACCTCATACTATGTATTCTGTGAATATAACAACTTAGTTATACAAGGACAGCTTTTTCATTATAACAAAACACAGGATGCAGCATGTAACAGAACACTATAAATAACCCTCTGCGTAAAATCCAACTTGAAGTAAGCTTTGTAGATGAAAACCTGGAGTAATCACTACTATGTTCAGCCTTGTTTATCAGATGCACCGGGCAGCAATATGAAGAGTTTTATTTTTATAAACCTGCACAAGAAATCCACATACATATGCAATTGGGTTGGGAGCTTCAAACATGCAGGTCACCGCACAGAAGCAGAGAATTTTGTTCAGACATAAGTGTACCTTTGTACTAACTTAAATAATCAAGAAGTAAGGATACACCACTGTAGGCAGTGCTGTTTTAAAATAAAGTGAAATTGTAATCAAGATTTAAGTTTGTCACAAGTTTGCAGATACAAACAGGCAGATTTGAGATGCTACCAGCTGAAGTTACCCAACACTTGGGCATCACTGACTGCTGGCAGCTGGACATGCAGCTTGCCCTACCTGCATGGCTCTGCTGAAGGCACAGCAGCCTTGCTGAAGCTGTGAGAATCAGAAGTCAGTGGCAACTTAGAGCAGAAATGTAATAAACCCTAATAAAACTGCCTTCTGTCTTCCTTGACTTCTTTACATAAAGAAATCATCCAAGCCATTTTGATGTGGTAGCACCTGAACTTCACCTCCATGGTAATACCTATAAATTTGTGTCCAAGTATCAACATCTAAAGTTTATTTGGTTTAAAAAAAAAAAAAAAAAAGGAAAACAACAGGACTTTTAGAGGATATTTCCCTGTGACCCCCAGAGCTGTACGAATAAAGACGTGGTACACAAGTTTGTATTCTCCTGCATTCAACTGCTAAATGCTCTAAATAAAACTGGAGGACCATTGTTAGCCAACAGAATTGAGTCCTTTTTGTCATTAATAACAGATGAGCATCAAAAGGTTTCCATAGTGGAAGATTTATCAGTGAGAACATTAGCATGATTTATGAGTTAACGTCCTGTATGGAGGAGCCTCATTTTCCAGGCGTGCTCCCGTGACTGCGCAGCAGCGTGTGCCTCATCAGCCCTATGCTCCTCCAAAGGGTACAGCCTCTAAATTACACTGAGCACCATGAAGAAACACTGACGTAGCACTCAGATTGCTTTTCTAAGGTTGAGATGCTGAGGATTCAGAACAGCAGTGAGTTTCATCTCCTAAACCAGGTGCTACGAACCCAGCAGCCAGCATCTGCTTGATGACTTGCACATAAAGATGTTCACCTTCCACAGTAATTCTGCTTAACAGTCTTGCTGCAGCCAAGGTTTTCAGCACTAAAACATACCTTCAGTTTGATTAAATGCAGATTTAATTTAAATTTGCATTAAGGGTCTTTCACATTACAGTAAATAATTCAAAATTACTTCCTGCATCCAACTGTTCCTGAAAACAAGGAATTCCATCCTGGGATCCAAAATCCAACTCCTATCTGTAATGCAGAGCGGATAAAGGGGAGAAAGCCCACACAGCAATCCCGAGGATCACCAAAGTTCACAAAATCCATAACAAAGTGCTTCCCTTTAGAAGCCAAAGCATCTCCAACCAATATCCCCACTGCACCCTGCTTCAACAGAATACCCCCCTCTATCAGAGGGCTGAATCCACCCTCCCTTACTATCATCTACATTAGCTTTAAAAGAATACTTCTATCAGGCTGTAATACTATAATGCAATGGAAAGCACAGCAATAACAGCAGGGTGGCAAAGTCCTAGGCTGCAACAAGTGATGATAAGCCAAAACACAGCAGCTGTAGACACAGAAATAAAGGGCAAAAAAATAACTGCTTACCTTTAGAAGGCCTCAGGCAGACAGGGATCCCCAGCAAGATCTCCTCACCTCCACTGCCAACCCTTAAATGAGGTCTGGGAAGGGGTGGATCCTGGCTTCCAGCCCTTCTGGTCACTCAGCTTCATTGCATGCACCTGAGCTTCCTGGGTTGGCCCTGCCTTCCACCAGGTGCTCAATCACTGCTTCAAGCCATGACTTTGCATTTCTGCTACACAGGCTATGGCAAATGGCTGAACTTGAAGCCCTCATGATTTTTGTCTGTCCAGTATTTCTGATAATCAGGGCAGAACTATTCCTCAACTGCTAGTAAACATGTCTCCACATACAGCATAATTCTATTCATTAGTTCAAGAGTAGGAAGGCACTGACTAGTGACATCTCACAGGTGCCTCCAAGACATAAACATGACTGTCAATCCTTTGATTAACTCAGGTGTTAACCGTTTAGCCAAAGTGCCTGATAACATAAATGCAACCAACAGAGAGAAGCTGCGTTAAAATTACTTCCTTATTTCACCTGCCATTTCCCAAACAAAGAAACAATCCCACTTCTATTGTTCCTCAAACTGCCACCCCTGCACCTATGACAATTCTCTTCCCAGTTTTTCTGCACCAAACTCACTGTTATTCATAAACAAAGAACCTACAGAGATGCTCAACAGGTTTCTTATGGAATTGTGCTCTTATACCAGGCTTAACTATAACTACATACTTCTATCATTAAAGATAACCGTCAACACAATTGTCCAAAAAGATCCTGAGCAGTGCTGTACCTGCCAGCAGCACCAACCGTCAGTATTTTTAGCTATAAAAACTGATTTTCTTCTTCAAAAAACAATTCCAAGGTACTTTCACGTGGCCCCAACTGATGCTAATGCATCCCTCTCCAGTGCAATGAGCCAGCCTGTTCATTTACTTCCTATTCTCCTTAAATATATCCTAAGGAAGCATCGCTTCAATATTATAACTTTCTTGGCTAGAATATAAACTATAATTCTCAAGCATCTCCATTGCTGTGACACAATATCAGTGCCTTACCAAAACAATACCAAGAATTTGTTGAGTCTGAGAGGGTGATCAGTAAATGCCAGGAAAGTTACTTCTTCATCCTAATTACAGGAAAGAAATAGCAGTTCTGAACTCTTAAATGGGTCTTTATTTTCAGTACTGTAGTGTTCTGAAAGCTGCTTTTTATTGATTCAAGTTCTGAATTAAGATTCAGCAAAAGCTTGAAATATTGGATGGAAATTTGAGGGGCATTCTTCATTGGCACCTGGGACAGTGTGCCACCCTGTGACTTCACTTCAGCCCTGTTGCTACAGTCACGCTTCCTAATCCAGTACATTTACATCCCTCTCATAACAAATTTGTTATGAAATCGTATCAGTGATGCTTCTCAAGGCAAAAACAATCAGGGATCATCATCAGAAATGAGAACT